GCAATGTAAAATCGCCATCTCTTCGAGCATGGGGAATTTGTTTTCTCCTTCCTCTTTCACCAATCCTTTCAGATTACGGAAGAACCATATACGAAGTTTTTTCAGGGATGGAAACCTTCTTCTTGTGGAGAATCTAGAATGGACATCATCCTCGTCAACATACTCCACCTCCGCAGACCCGTTTTGTAACTCTAGACTTTCTAGACAAGGCAGCTCCCCAAAGGGTGGTAAGCACAAGCAGTTTTTGCAGCTTTTAATTCTAATAGAGATGACCTTCTCCAAAACTGAGTGATTTATCCAGCTTGGAAAACGGAATCCTCCGAAGGCAATGATCTCTAAATATTTCAGATTGGGGTGTGGTTTGAGGGCTTCAAGCACTTTAACTTCTTCGGATTCATATCTGTTTGGTCCATCGTTATCCCAACTCATGCTTAAAGATTGCAGATTTGCTTTTGCAGATAAATTGGCTTCTGCATCCGTATCGTTCTTCGCTCTCTCAAGGTGTGTGATTGAAATTGAGCCGCAGAGATTTAGTTTTTTTAGTTCACCAAGTTGATAACCTTTCTTGCTTCCCACAATAAAGAAACCTAGAGTCTTAAGGCATGTCAACAATCCTATCCTTGGTGGAGTAGAAGTCAATGGACAGCCATCAAGAACAAGATTTCGGAGACTACTAAGTTTACTTGTTTGTTTTGGCAAACAATTAAGTGAGTAGCAATTATGTACATCAAGAGTCTGAAGATTTTGAAGCTCGCACAACCTCTCTGGAAGACTTCGGAAATTATTGCGAGACAGGTCCAGGTATCTTAAATGTAATAAATCTCCAATGGAAGAGGGTAATTGCTCAAGTTTTGAGTAGCTTAGATTAAGCACCCTTAACGAGACAAACTTTTTCAAGAGCGAAGGAGAGTAAGAAGACACCACTTCAGCGAAACCAATGGACATTGTTTGCTTATAATCTTTGACATTTATTTCGCGGATATTGCTGCTTGATGTGCTTGCCAAAAACAGAGATGTAGCCAAATCATGGATGAGATCATGTATCTTGAAATAAGTATTACCGGATTTAACTTCAATCTCTTGGAAGAAAGACCTCAAGTATAATTCATTCCATACTTCATTACCCACATACTCTAGCTCCAAGTTTCCCTTTGATAAAAGAAAACCATGGGCCATCCAGAGAGTGATGAGATTTTCCTTTATCATTTTGGTGTCCTTTGGGAATACTGCACAATACGCAAAGCATTGCCTCAAATCAAGTGGAAGGTGATGATAACTCAGTCTTAGAGCAGGCAAAATAGAACTTTCATCTTGAGGCAGACTCCAAATCTCATTATCTCTCACATGTTCCCATTCACTCTCTTCTCTCTTGAAGCGTAAAAGACCACCAAGAGTCTTGGCCGCTAAAGGCACACCACCACATTTCTTCACAATCTCCTTTCCAATGGCCACTAGATTAGGATTTGCTTCTCTTTGTTGCCCAAATGCGCGTTGCATAAATAACAGTAAACTATCATGTGGAGACAAATTTGACAAATGATATGGTTGCAATGTTCCCATAATTGATCCAACCTTTTCAAGACGAGTAGTAGCTAGAATAGAAGCACCTCTTGCTCCAACATTTAAGACTGCTCTTAACTTAGCCCACTTCTCTAGATCATCATTCCAAACATCATCTAAGACAAGCAAGTATCGTTTTCCATTCAATAACTCCTGGAGCTTCTTCTGATATGAAGCCAAGTCCTCGACATCAGGAGAACTTCTTTCAATATTTCCTACAATTGTCTTAATTAACCTCTTCTCATCAAAATTATCTGAGACACAAACCCATATTTTTGGATTGAAATGCTTAGTCACTCTCTCATCATTGAAGATCATTTGGGCAAATGTTGTCTTTCCTAGTCCCCCCATACCAATTATAGGGAAGACTGGAAGTTCTTCGGCAATATTAATATTGTTTATCAGGATTTTCACTATCTCATCCTCCTCTTTGTCCCTTCCGTAAACTTTTGGTTCAGTTAAAACAAAACCTGTTCCAAGTAGTGTGGATACAAAGAATTTGTTACAATTGAGCTCATTAGAATGAGTCAGCAAGAATTATAGACAAAACAAACATTTAGACAGGAATGACAGATGGGGTGGTGCAGGGCAAACCCACACAAACCCACCCCAACACACATAATTTGCTTTTTTTTTTAATGGAAAAAATCCTGGATACTATCCACGCATATTGAAATCCTTCCCAGCAGAACTATTTTCCCCTACTTTCTTCATAACAATTGTTTTTACAGTTTAGACTGAAGTTTCATAACTCACAAATGGTAATCTAAAATAGACCCATATCCTAAAAAACAAACTTTTTTTTTCCTCATATGAGAAATACTATGAAGAAGTCAGCCTCAGTATACTTCTTATTTCTTTGCTTTTTCCTTTTTAGACTGTAAAATTTGATAAAGAAAATAGTTTAAACAAATATTAATGCAAAAATGAATCCAGACCCCTTACATTGTTTAGTGCCACACAAATTCAAACTTGCAAAAGCAGATCCAGACCAAGTTTTAAACTTTCACTAGAACATTTTTTGGACAGACTGATATAGAATTGGATCATAATTTAAAGGGCATAGTTCATAAATATGCCTTTTAAATTGACATCAGCTGACATCTATTCCCTCTAATTGTGCACACGTAAATACTTAAACTCGTATAAAGTTGAGCAAGTAGACATATGTGTCCTGCACGACATAGCCATGTAGAACACCAAGTAGGACGCGTGTGTACCTGTTCAACTCTATACAAATTTAAGTACCTACTTGTGCAGACTCAAAGTTGAAGTTGCGCCCCACACCTGTCACCTGCACACCTCCAACCCCGCCCCATTGCCATCCTACTGTAGATATCAGGATGAGCACACGATGTGGCAACAAATTGAACATAAACTAAGTTACTATTACTCAGTACTCACACCTGTTTCACGCGTAGCAGCGGCAGCTTGTCTCTCTGTAATTTTTTCAAGGAAATGAAACTTCCTTCTTTCCTCAGCAATTGCATCTAGTTTCTCCATTATCTCTTTCATCTTTTTCCCAATTTTGTGACGGAAATTGATAATTCCTGGATGATAAAACCCTAATCGAGACTGCTTGAATCTTATTGCCTCATTTTTACATTCGCCCAATAAGTCATCAACTTCATAGGCAGCAGAATTGAGTTTCTGCAACCAATTCTCAATTGCCTTGTCCTTCAATTGCTTCTCTTGAGCATCTTGAAGCACAGCTTGAATTGTGGAAAACACACTCGACAGCTTTTCAAATTCCTTTTCGAAACCGAAAAGCAATACAAGTTTCCCTCCTATGAAAGAATTGAGATTTTTTAGCAGAACTTGAAGAAAAGCTTCCGCCATGTATTGAATCCAGTAAAGAAATATTGACCAATTCAAAGTGTCTGGTTTGCTCAGCTGAGCAGTGTGTGGACTTTATATATTTCATGATAACTGCACATACCAACAATTCTCCGTACCTCTGGTTGACTGGCTGAACTTGTCGGCCATGTTTTTTTCTTTTTCTTTTTTTACTAGGTCTCCTCTTCCTTTGAAAAAATCAATGTTTTTTTTTATATATATAAAAAGAATATATCAAGATTTTTTCGTATTAGCATGTCATGTAGTCATTGACTTTTGGTACTTGATATAAATCGAATGTTATTGTAGTTTTTACTTTTGATATCTCGCACATCATCAATTGTATACTTTATTTTGATTATCGTACTATTTTGTTAGTTCATGATGTTAGTTGCTATGTTTTCTAAACTGTTTTCTTCTTTGTACATGAGTGTCTTTCAGAAACAACATCTTTACCTCCATGAGATAGAGGTAAGAAGGGGTGTACATAGGTCGGTTTAGTTTGTTTTTTTATTAAAAAAAACTTAAATCAATTATGTTGGTTTATTAAATCTAATAACCATATCAAACCACATAAAGTTACGTTTTTCGGTTTCGGCTTTAGTCGGTTCTTTCATTTTTTTGGTTTTTTCCAACTATACGGTGTTTGAAAAAGAGATCAAATATATTTTCACTTACTTGTGTGATAAGTTAAACTTAAAAAATGTTAAACAAATAGAAATCTTTGAAAAGACGATAAAATTCACATGAGTACAATTTTTCTTTTTGAAATATCAAAGTTCAATATGTTAAATTAATAAGATCAAAGGCTACAATCAAACTGAATACAAAAAGAAATATTTACAAAGTAAATTGTTAACTACGAATTTAAAAAACTATAATAATATTATTGTAATTTCTGATCTTAGTACAAAATAAAATATTTACAAAGTTTTACAAGCCCAAATTTGAAATAATATATATAAATATTGAAAACTATAAACTAACTAAAAATATATTAACAAAGTAGATTATAAATAATATTTTTTATCGATAAATAAAATAAAATTATATATTTATATTATGTCGGTTTGGTTTTGGTTCAATTTGACTTTTTTCTTTGAATACCAAACCAAACCAAGAGTGATCGGTTTTTTTTCCAATGCCAAACCAACCAAACCAAACCACAAATCATTTTTTTTCCGTTTGATTTGGTTCGTCGGTTCGGTATGACTTTACGGTTTGGCTTGTACACCCCTAGTGGTAAGATCTGCGTACACTTTACCTTCTCAGACCATACTTATGAGATTTTACTGAGTATGTTATTGTTATTGCGGTCTTAAATATTTCATGTGAAAATTTAAATCAAAAAGCTTAAAAAAAAAGTGAAACAAACATTTTTTTTTGTAATGTACTAAAAAATCAAATATATATCTTTCAAAATAGGAAAGGAGATTATAAGGTGGACAATCAAACCTAATCGATAAAGTGAAAATTTAAACCGACCAACTAACTAAGCTACTAAAATTTCTAAAAAAAATACAATAATTATGTATATTAGCTAATGGATATAAACTTTTTTTCATGGCTTATAAAGAGGGGAATAAAACTTTATTGTTAAATCTTTTGGGTCCTTTTTTTCTCTCACCTTGTGGTTAGAATTCAAAATGTGGTTATCCACTTCCCCAACTGCATTGACAGTTGCTGTTTCAGTTCCTTCCTCTCTTACTCCACAGGTAACTTTTCTCTAATTTTGTTGGGAATTTAGAATATTTTCATTTGATAAGTTGATTACTTTGTATATGTTGTTTTACTGTTAAAAAGAAAATCACAATTATGCTTTCTACACAACTTTTTGTTTTTTCGATTTCGATTTCTATTGATTTTTGTGGATTATGTTGTAGGATTTCAGCTGGAGAAAGTTTAAATTGAAGAGAAATGTGAAGATTTCAAGAAATTTTGAATTTGCTATCAGTTGTTCTGGTGATAAAGCTGTTTCAATTGGGTTTGATGTGCCATTCCCTAAGGACTACACTGAATTACTTCAACAAGTATTCATTCTATTTGCTTTTTCTCCCCTTAAAATTGTGGGTAGGGGAAATGGGAGAAGGGATTACAAGGTGGGGGAATTGAACCCTCGGACTGACTGAGCTACTAAGATTCTCCACTTTTTACACTCACATTACAACGAAAAGTTTTTTATTATAAAAAAACCCCCTTTTCCACCAAGTTACTGTTAACCATACTAGGTTACCATTTCATATTTCCTTAACTATTGCAGGGAGATTAAGGTAATTATTTGCCAAGGGCGGAGATAGAGTATTACTTATGGGTTCGGACAAACCCAATAGCTTTTGCTTAGACTCTATATTTGTATTGGGAGGTCCATTTAATATGGATACATACTTAATTACAAACCCAGTAACTAAGACAGGCTATGAATTTGGTGGCAAGTTATGAGCCCGTAAAATTCAAATCTTGGCTCCACCTGTTTTAGTTGTTGCTATCTTTCTCTAGATAAAAGTATAAACTACTTTTTGTCTTTCGAATGTTTGCCGTGGTTTCTGCTATATCACTTTGATTGCCTTCAGAAATGGGAATTCCATCCCGACTTGACAAAAAGTGTGTCTATCCATACCATGCAACTCTCATGCTGCCTTGAGAAGACTATTTTTTGTGTGGATTCTTATCTCAAAGCCCTTATGAACAGGCGTTGTTGTGCGCCTACAAGACTGACAAACCAATACTTGCTTGAATTCCTGAATATAAGCTGATGTACTTAGTCTTCTTGACCTAACTGGTTCTTACTAACTGTAAATTTCTCATAATTGAAGGCTCTTATCCCTCTTACTGCAAATTCATATATTACATCTGGAAATGTCAAGCTACCGTTTGTACCTTTTTATGCACATCAAGATTTATGTTTGTAAATGTGCAGCTGAAACTTTTATGCGGCTCTTATCAACTGCCAAATCTGTCCACTTTTGGGGCTTAAAATCGGAATGTAGACAATAAGTGAAAACATGATTAAACACTCACTAAAAAACATAACAGTTCATGTCCATTATATGATATTTTTTTGGTTCTAAAATTCTTGAAATGTATGTACACTACCACTCTAAACTTTTTCTATTTCAAATGTCCATTTTATGAATAATGCTTATCTTGTTGCTCATTGCATACTCATTTTATTCACTTCACTTTCTTAAGTCTGTGCTGCAGTTCTTCAATCATAATTCCGGAATTTCATGATTAACAGGCTAAAGAAGCAACTGAATTGGCATTGAAGGACAACAGACAACTGATGGTCAGTCAAATTTCCCTGTATGTCTTCAAGTGATAACAACACTTAAAAGAAATAATACAGTATCCATACATTCCGTGGACTTAAAGGGCTAAAACTTTCTTGTACCAGGAAATTGAATTTCCAACTGCTGGGTTAGGTTCTGTACCAGGTTATGCCTAATTGTCCTCCTTACTTGGCAGTTTCTCCTGATTTGGGCATGTGAAGATCGGTATAATCTACACTAGCTCACTGATTTCCCATTCATGTCAGGTGATTTTAATCTCGTGTTAACTATCAACAGGTGACGGTGAGGGTGGAATAGAAATGACTGGAAGTATACAACTAATACGTGAGTTCTGTGATCTCTTGGTTATACCGGAGAAAGCCACAAAAACCAGAATTGTAAGTCTCTGTTTCCGAATGAATTTTATAATATGCACTGTGAGTCTCGAAAAGGCTCTCTTGCTGGTTATTGCTCTTTTCATTTGGCTTACTCCACTTAGAGACAAATATACATTCTATTGGAGGAAACAATCATCTGGCAGTTCGGAAAATAAATAAGGAAAATTTTAACCATAAAAGAAGTACTCAGAAAATTAGCGGGGAAAAGCTGTTACTTAATCTTTAACTGTTGTACTGTACTGCATAGAGTGTGGGCTTAATTCTTCTATTTGCCACATTATACAAAATAAACCAAATTTCGGCTATTTGCAGAGTCCATCTCTGTTGTGTCCATGCATGAGTTTTGCCGTTGTTAATTATTTCTCTATATCGCAGCATCAATCTACCTTGATTTCTTGTTTCGCATGTAAGCTGTCATTACAACTAAGACAAGAAGCTGAAGATGTTTCATGTTTATGTTAAACGAATGGTGCTACAAAACTAGCGGTGGTGCTTTTTCCTCTTATCATATTGCTCCGTAATAGTTTCATCTTGTTGTTCTTCAAAATTAGTGTTCCCTGTTAATGTTTGTGATCACCTCTTTTCCCATTAAGCTCTTTTACTCTACCAGGTGCGATGTATCAAACTTGCATTAAACCTTTCAGTTTTTCCCGGAGGCTAATGAAGTGAAATTTGCAAGACAATCAATTTTTGGAGGAGCATCTTTTAAATTGGACTATTTGACAAAGCCTTCTTTTTTCGAGGATTTCGGTTTCACCGAAAAGGTCAAGATGGCTGACCGTGTCAAGCCAGAAGATGAACTCTTTATAGTTGCCTATCCATATTTTAATGTCAATGGTAACATCTAACTCTTGCAACTTAGAGTACATCAAGTGATTAATTTCATAGAAATGTTATGATGGCATAATTTATTTCTGCAATGTAGAGATGCTTGTCGTGGAAGAGCTATACAAAGAAGAAGTGTCGAACACTTCCAGGAAACTGATTATATTCAACGGAGAGCTTGATCGAATAAGATCTGGTTGTATCCTTTCTTACCACCAATTTTTTTTCCTTTAATCTGATCAACGAATAAATATTCCTTATTGCTCTGCATGATTGTCTGCATATTGTGGCAATGAGTAACTTGTTGCACCGGAAATAGGATGGACATCGTACTATATATATATATTTCTGCCTTTTAAGAATTACAGAGAAGAAATGAGATCTTCTTAACAATTGTTCCATGTTAAGTTACTGTATTCCCTGCTATCTTTGACAAAAATAAGATTATCCACCATTCTTCTATCCGAAGCTGGCTGCACTATCCAAGACTCTTTTTCCTAAGATGGAGACGGTATATTATATTCACAATTTTAAAGGACGAAATGGAGGAGTCCTGTTTAGGTAATCTCTTTTACCAAAGCTTCAAATGACTGAACTATTTGTTAGATTGTTTCGTTATCACTTGAATGTTGCTCGTTTTCTTTTTTACTTTGACTGTCTTTTGAAAACTAGGTGTTACCCTGGTCCTTGGAAAGTTTTCCGAAGAGTAGGAAGTACCTACATCTGCTTGCATCAGCAGGAATCAATGCCATCCTTGAAAGAAGTTGCTTTGGACATCCTTCCATCAGCTTGATTGTTTTGTTTATAAATTACACGGTGAAATTGTTCAGTTTGCCTTCTTTCTCCTGTAATTTGAAGGAAGAAAAACTTTTCATATCTGTGTTCTTTTGTGACCTATGTTATTGCAGAATTCTTAATTCATGCTCCCTTTAACAGTGTGAATATGTTGATTTCGTTACACTTGTAATACATATGTATATTAACCTTCAAAATCAAGTTGTTGAACACCTTACTATCAGAAACTTACCAATTTCTGATGTCCCTTTCCGTCGGAAAGCTGTCTGTATATAAGGAATTCCAACGCCGTTCAAACGGTTCTTGATCCTCCAGGAAAATAGCTAATCAGAGAAGGCTACTGTCCTTGTGTATATGAAGGGACTTGAGTCCTTTTTGGTACAAGTAGTTGAATGGATGACTATTTGAATGGGTCCAAAATAACTAGTTGAAGGCATTAAGTTATTGGTAGATTAATCAAAATGCACAAAGTTGATCACCAACCACAAGAAAAGATAATATATTAATTATTACAAGTCCATGCCCTGCTCAAGTCAACTTTGAACTGTCCATATTTCATTCCAACATCTTACTTTGTTTCAAGAATATAGATTCATTGTTTACTCGCATAATTTTGTGTTACAGTTCCAGTAATCTAGTATATTTTATAGTGAATTCAACATATGGCTGAAGCTTTCCTTCAAGTTCTGCTAGATAATCTCACTCTTTTCATCCAAGGGGAACTTGGATTGGTTTTTGGTTTCGAGAAGGAGTTTAAAAAACTTTCAAGTATGTTTTCAATGATCCAAGCTGTGCTAGAAGATGCTCAAGAGAAGCAACTGAAGTACAAGGCAATAAAGAACTGGTTACAGAAACTCAACATTGCTGCATATGAAGTTGATGACATCTTGGATGACTGTAAAACTGAGGCAGCAAGATTCAAGCAGGCTGTATTGGGGCGTTATCATCCACGGACCATCACTTTCTGTTACAAGGTGGGAAGAAGAATGAAAGAAATGATGGAAAAACTAGATGCAATTGCAGAGGAACGGAGGGATTTTCATTTGGATGAAAGGATTATAGAGAGACAAGCTGCTAGACGGCAAACAGGTGCTCATCTTAATTTTATTTTAAAACAAATAAGTATTACAAATTGCAGAGAAATGAAGGAATTTATATTCATTTTTATTTTTGGCAATCATCAAAGTCATGTGTGTTTTTAAGCTGAGGGGAAGTTTCAAAGATTTACTCTAATCTTAATGTTTGTCTCACTCACTCAGCATGATTTTCTCAATCCTTTACTTCAACTCCCCCCTACTGTGCAAATATCTTCTCTATTTTCTGTTGACTCCTAATGAGCTTGAATGTAACAGCATTCTTGTTTGGAGCAGGTTTTGTTTTAACTGAGCCAAAAGTTTATGGAAGGGAAAAAGAGGAGGATGAGATAGTGAAAATCTTGATAAACAATGTTAGTGATTCTGAAGAAGTTCCAGTACTCCCAATACTTGGTATGGGGGGACTAGGAAAGACGACTCTAGCCCAAATGGTCTTCAATGATCAGAGAATTACTGAGCATTTCAATCTAAAGATATGGGTTTGTGTCTCAGATGATTTTGATGAGAAGAGGTTGATTAAGGCAATTGTAGAATCTATTGAAGGAAAGTCACTGGGTGACATGGACTTGGCTCCCCTCCAGAAAAAGCTTCAGGAGTTGTTGAATGGAAAAAGATACTTTCTTGTTTTGGATGATGTTTGGAATGAAGATCAAGAAAAGTGGGCTAATCTTAGAGCAGTATTGAAGATTGGAGCTAGTGGTGCTTCAATTCTAATTACTACTCGTCTTGAAAAAATTGGATCAATTATGGGAACTTTGCAACTATATCAGTTATCAAATTTGTCTCAAGAAGATTGTTGGTTGTTGTTCAAGCAACGTGCATTTGGCCACCAAACCGAAACAAGTCCTAAACTTATGGAAATCGGAAAGGAGATTGTGAAGAAATGTGGGGGTGTGCCTCTAGCAGCCAAGACTCTTGGAGGTCTTTTACGCTTCAAGAGGGAAGAAAGTGAATGGGAACATGTGAGAGATAGTGAGATTTGGAATTTACCTCAAGATGAAAATTCTGTTTTGCCTGCCCTGAGGCTGAGTTATCATCATCTTCCACTTGATTTGAGACAATGTTTTGCATATTGCGCGGTATTCCCAAAGGACACCAAAATAGAAAAGGAATATATCATCACTCTCTGGATGGCACACAGTTTTCTTTTATCAAAAGGAAACATGGAGCTAGAGGATGTGGGCAATGAAGTATGGAATGAATTATACTTGAGGTCTTTTTTCCAAGAGATTGAAGTTAAATCTGGTAAAACTTATTTCAAGATGCATGATCTCATCCATGATTTGGCTACATCTATCTTTTCAGCAAGCGCATCAAGCAGAAGTATCCGCCAAATAAATGTAAAAGATGATGAAGATATGATGTTCATTGTAACAGATTATAAAGATATGATGTCCATTGGTTTCTCCGAAGTGGTGTCTTCTTACTCTCCTTCGCTCTTTAAAAGGTTTGTCTCCTTAAGGGTGCTTTATCTAAGTAACTCAGAATTTAAACAGTTATCATCTTCCGTTGGAGATCTAGTACATTTAAGATACCTTGACCTGTCTGGTAATAAAATTTGTAGTCTTCCAAAGAGGTTGTGCAAGCTTCAAAATCTGCAGACTCTTGATCTACATAATTGCCAGTCACTTTCTTGTTTGCCGAAACAAATAAGCAAGCTTGGTAGTCTCCGGAATCTTGTATTTGATCACTGTCCATTGACTTCTATGCCACCAAGAATAGGATTGTTGACATGCCTTAAGACACTAAGTTACTTTCTTGTTGGCGAGAGGAAAGGTTATCAACTTGGTGAACTACAAAATTTAAACCTCCGTGGTGCAATTTCAATCACATATCTTGAGAGAGTGAAAAACGATATGGAGGCAAAAGAAGCCAATTTATCTGCAAAAGCAAATCTGCACTCATTAAGCATGAGTTGGGATGGACCACACAGATATGAATCCGAAGAAGTTAAAGTGCTTGAAGCCCTCAAACCACATTCCAATCTGAAATATTTAGAAATCATTGACTTCTGTGGATTCTGTCTCCCAGACTGGATGAATCACTCAGTTTTGAAAAATGTTGTCTCTATTCTAATTAACGGTTGTGAAAACTGCTCGTGCTTACGACCCTTTGGTGAGCTGCCTTGTCTAGAAAGTCTAGAGTTACAAGACGGGTCTGTGGAGGTGGAGTATGTTGAAGATTCTGGATTCCCCACAAGAAGAAGGTTTCCATCCCTGAGAAAACTTCATATAGGTGGCTTTTGTAATCTGAAAGGATTGCAGAGAATGGAAGGAGAAGAGCAATTCCCCGTGCTTGAAGAGATGAAGATTTCGGATTGCCCTATGTTTGTTTTTCCAACCCTTTCTTCTGTGAAGAAATTAGAAATTTGGGGGGAGGCAGATGCAAGAGGTTTGAGCTCCATATCTAATCTTAGCACTCTTATATCCCTCAAAATTTTCAGTAACCACACAGTGACTTCACTCCTAGAAGGGATGTTCCAAAGCCTTGAAAATCTCAAATACTTGAGTGTCTCTTACTTGGAGAATCTCAAAGAGCTGCCTACCAGCCTGGCTAGTCTCAGTAATTTGAAGTGTCTAGATATTCGTTATTGTTACGCACTAGAGAGTCTCCCCGAGGAAGGGCTGGAAGGTTTAACTTCACTCACGGAGTTATTTGTTGAACATTGTAACATGCTAAAATGTTTACCGGAGGGATTGCAGCACCTAACAAACCTCACAAGTTTAAGAGTTACTGGCTGTCCAGAAGTGGCAAAGCGGTGTGAGAGGGGAATTGGAGAGGACTGGCACAAAATTGCTCACATACCAAATGTGTATATTGGTTAGTCTTGATCTGTTTTTTTTTTCTTTCTGCGGTTCCACCACTATTTATGCTCCTCCCATTGGATGTAGTTTTGTGATTTTATTTTGGAAACAAATCAATTATTAAGATTTAATTGTATATTAACTTATTATGTGAAATCTAATAGACTATGTTACTGTTAAGATCATAGTCTATTTGTATATATAACTTATTATTTTGGAAACAAATCAATTATTAAGATCTAATCAACCAAGTTAGCCAAACCTCCACCACTACAAGGCGGCTTCAAATTAAAAATATGTAATAACAATAAAGAAAAAACAAGGATTTGGGTGATTTTCATATTTCAAATACAACGTCAAGTTATATTTGTAAAAAAAGTGAATAATTCTTATGGCTAAACGGGTCATATTGCAAGAAAATTATAAAAGGATTATTATACTTGTCCTACTCCAAAAGTAAAGATTTTGAAGAGATCTACTCTTAACGAACTAAATGATTCTTCCAATTCTCAAAGTAACTTATATTCCTTTCCAACCAAAGATGCAATGAGGTTTTCCAAATTTGCTTTCTAATATTCTGAGGCATCCTTTTTTTTTTATGCACACTAGGAATAGATTCCATATACTCCGTCTGTCCCATTTTATGTGAGGTAGTTTGATTCGACATACAATTTAAGAAAGAAATGAAGACTTTTTAAACATGTGATCTAAAATGAATGATAAGAATTTGTGTGACTATACATTATTTCATTAAGGATAAAATGGACAATTTAAAGTTAATTGTTACTTAATATAAAAATGTGTCATTCTTTTTGGAACTGACTAAAAAGGAAATTAAATCATATAAATTAGAATATAGGGAGTATCTACTTACAAAGTAAAAGCTGCGTGTAGAAGATTTTGGCATACAAATTAGGGAAAAAGGACAAATATGCACCCCCAACTATCGTAAATGGTATGCAGATACCATTCGTCATACTTTTGGGACATTGGTGCCCATGCCGTCCAAAAACTAGATCATATATACCCTTTTATACTAACAGACATACACGTGTCATAATCATATCCACCGACCCGACATTTATTAAATATTAGATTGACGGATAAGATTGAGCCACGTGTCCCTATTTAGTCTGAGTGAAGGGCAATATATGCTCTAGTTTTTGGATGACAGAAGCACTGATGTCCCAAAAGTATGACGAAGGATATCTGCATACCATTTACGTAGTTTGGGGATATATTTATCCTTTTTTCCTACAAATTAAAAGGAAAGTAAAGTATATTGAGATTCCATATGCAGACACGAAAAGTATATATTTATTGATCTCCATTAGTGTATTTATAACAAGTAATTATTGATGACACACAAAGCAATAATTTTGAACTCATTGTTTATTTGTGTTACAATTTAATTTCACTCTACACCTATGGCAGAAGCTTTCCTTCAAATTGTGATTGAAAATATCACTTCTTTTCTTGAAGGGGAACTTTCATTGCTTTTCGGTTTTGAAAATGAGTTTGAAAATCTTTCGAGCAGGTTTTCTACAATCCAAGCTGTGCTTGAAGATGCTCAGATGAAGCAACTAAAGGACAAGGCGATTAAAAACTGGTTACAGAAACTCAATGCTGCTGCATATAAAGTTGATGACATATTGGACGAATGTAAATATGAGGCAGCAAGATTCAGGCAGTCTCGAATAGGACGTTATCATCCCGGGATTATCACCTTCCGCCATAAGATTGGGAAAAGGATGAAAGAGATGACGGAGAAACTAGATGCAATTGCTAAGGAAAGAATGGATTTTCATTTGCAAGAAATGATTATAGAGAGACAAACAGCTATACGGGAAACAGGTGCTCATCTTAAATTAGTATTACAATTCATTTTTTGGCAATTATCAAATTCATGTGTATGTTTGGGTTGGGGGCGGGGGGGGGGGGGGGGGGAGTTTGAAAGATTTCCCCTAAATGTTTAAGCATCCACTGTGGACATCTTGTCTTTTAACTTAACCTCATTTCATATTTATTATGACTTTCAACTTTGGGTGTGAACAAGTAAACGCTTGAACTTGTATAAACTTGAACAAATAGACACATGAGTCCTACGTGACATAGTACACATAGGACACCATATAGAACCCAAATTGTCAAGTAGGATGCCACGTAGAACGCGTGTGTCTATTTGTTCAACTTTATAAAAGTTTAATTGTCTACTTGTGCAAACTCAAAGTTTGAGGACATAAATATAAATTGAAAACAAGTTAAAAGGGCATATTTATGTATTATGCCATTTAAAAATGACAAACAAAATTGTGAATTCAATACAGGGCTACTCAATGATTACTAAGTAATTTCATAAATGTGAAAAGCTTGGGAATCCTGCTTAGTGTACTTGTTCCCGTGGTTATAAGAGAAGATTAAATATATTTTTGAATAATTAATATATTATTGGGATAAGACACAAGTATTCTCCTAGACTATGACCGAAATCCCAGAGACACACTTTAACTAAACTAAGGTCCTATTACCCCCTGGACTTATTTTTTTTGTAATTTTGTACACCTTTTGTCTTACGTGGCACACTCCGTGACTCCATGCAATTGAGGCGCGTGGGAGATATTTGGATGCCACGTAAGCCAAAAAGGTGCACAAAATTACAAAATAAATAAATTCAGGGGGTAATAAGACCTTAGTTTAGTTAAGGTGTGTCTCTGAGATTTCGGTTATAGTCTAGGGGGGTACTTGTTCCTTTTCCCTATATTATTTGATAAATATTCTAATAAATAATGTAATAAAAGAGAGAATCACAAATTAAGTTACGATCTTAGATTGCCTACTTAGAAAAATTGCTAAAGAGTCGGTCTCAATCTACAATTAAAATTTAAAACAGTTAATGAAAAAGGAGGAACATAAAAGTTGATGTGAATATTGTCAATTAATTGACAATCGAATTATCATAGCTTCATACTAAATTCAATTACTTTTATAGCAATAACTCTTGGTTCAACCAACAATATTAAGTTTACTTGATCATAAACTATGTGACTTTCTTTATGTATAAATAATGTTGCAGTAAAAATAAATAAATAAAGATATATTTGTTGTAAATCAGGCTGAAAAAATACTTAAATTATATTCTAACATAATTATGCACGAAATATAGAAGTTAGAGTTTTTTTTTTTTGGTATTTGGTGCCCGTACTGCCACTCACCTAATGTATATTTGTGTCGTGTAAGATCCATTAATATTAAGAATCTCATATTTTTATAGAAGACATTGGGAGAAGAGAAATTTAAGTTGTGATATATTACTTTGGAGGTTATACTTTTGCAATAGAAAATTAAAAAAATCAAAGCACCTAACATAAAATTAAATGTAAAAGATAAGTCATGATTATTTAGTGACTTGATGTGATATTCATAACCTACTCACATCCTATAAAGATTATCAGAGAGTGACAATGAATTAATTTTTAAAATGAATATATGCCTGCAACATTGAACATGTAGAAAATGTACCAAGAGTTGGATAAATCTTTTCCCTTAAATATATATTCAATAGAGATTAATTAACTTCCCCACCCTCACCATCTCTTGATGTTATTAAGGAGAGTTTGTTCATGAAATATTTTTACTTTTGGGAGAGTTGAACTTTGAAAAATATGTCTGGTCATAAAATTTTGGAGTTGCATAATTTTCAAGAATTTGGAAAGTAATAAAATGTGTTTTCACTCCAACTAATCACAAAAAGTCAAACTCCTATTTGTATTCTTGGTAGAAAAATAACTCCAATTTTCGAATATCATTTTGCACTTTAAAAATAAAAACTAACTTTTTCAAACTTCACAATGAAATATGGCTGAAATGACTTTTTCAAATTTTACAATAAAACCTACTTTGTATTATAGGCGTTGGTAACTTTTGTTTTCAAAGTGGAATAATACTTGAAAATAGGGATTGCATTTGGCTATAAATACAAATTGAACTTGTTGTTTTTCAAATTCTTGAAAATTTTGAGATACAACTTGAAATTGAATTCAGAAACTTTCTTGTCAAATTTATTGTACATGTCCCAATTTTTTAACAATATTTTGCAACTTTTTTCTTTTTTTCAATTCACACGTTTTTTTTTATTTCTAATATTTTTACTTCTTAAAGAATGAAAGGAAAAAAAAGAGAATAAGAAACTCATGATAATAAAAAAAGTCAAAAAAAAAAACTTGTGCGAAAAGGATCATATACACCCTACATGAATTTTCTTAAAATTAAAAATCACAAAAGTAAATTTAAATTAATTTTTCACTTCTATTAGATAAAAAGGTATGTGTGAGCCACTTTTATAACGGTAAAGACATAAGTGAATCACTGTTATAACGGTAGAAATATATGTGATTTACTTTATAACGAGGGCATATCAACTCTATATGACAAAATTGAAGAGTATATCAGACCATTTTACCTAAATTTAAGGGAAAATGCATAAATACCCCCAACCTATGCCCGAAATTCCAGAGACACACTTATACTTACTAAGGTCCTATTACCCCCGAACTTATTTTATAAATAATTTTCTACCCCTTTTCGGCCTACGTGACACTATCTTCTAGGCCCAACGTGTGTTGACAATTTTTTCAAGCTATCTGCCTGATATTTCCACATTGGCCGAAAAGGGGTAGAAAATTATTTATAAAATAAGTTCGAGAGGTAATAGGACCTTAGTATAGTATAAGTGTGTCTGTGGGATTCAAGCATAGATTGGGGGTACTTATGCATTTTTCCAAAATTTAATAAACATTAATCATATATTCACACATTATGGTAGAAAGGGAAAAAAAAGTTTATTACTCTTTGTTATCCTTATAATTCCTTTACAGACTTGGCTCATCTTCATTACGCCTTCTCCCCATTTCCTCATGTGCATATTTTGTAAATTACTTTTAACATACAACATAAAAAATTAAAATCTTGTAATTACCTTTGACCAGGTTCTGTTTTAACTGAACCACAAGTTTATGGAAGAG